AGAATATCCTTGTTTCCACCGCAGTGGTTACACAGGAGAGAGGGTTGTGTGTGTAGGAGAAAAAATAGGAACCGTGGGCCAAAGACGAAGCTCCGCTCCCGGATTTTTGCTTCTCAGCTTTTGTGCTGTGCTATTGCAGTACCTTACACCTTGCCTCTTGTCCTTGGGCTTTTTGCACCCTGAGCCCCAGGGCCTGGGGCGATCATACCTGCTCGTTGTCCCTCATGTGCTTCACCTCCACGATCCCTGCGTTGGGATGTCCTGCAGCTCTGCAAGCGGTGATGGAGAAACGGCTTCACTCCGCGTCTTGGACGCCCTCCGAGCGGATGCTGGGGAGTTTGGGGTGCATTGCCCTTGTCGTGCCGTGCTAGGGGCACCCGGGAAGCCCAGGCTGGGGTTGAACTGGATTTCTGACCCTTTGCAAATCAAAGAGGGCTCTCACTAAGTCCTTGGAGGGCACAGATGGAGTCGTCTTTGAGATCTGTTTGTGGAGCGCATGTGGCTTACGGCTAATAAAACTAGAAAGAGGTAAGAAGTGGGGCTTCTGCAGGACGTTACCTTTTACAAACATCATATAATGCTGCAAGAGGATATCAAATGTTAGTGTTTCAGATGGCAAATAAAGTGCGGTGCAACAGCACAGCCCTGGAGGCTCTTCTGGGAAGGACTGGGTGATTTCTCTTGTCATTTAGAGTCCTGTCTCGTAATTCTGGGTTGTAGTTGCAGACAACATACTTCTTTCCTTCCACCCCTTATTTCTTCTACGAGAACTTGTCATAGTTGAAAGGAATTTCTGCAATTATAAAATGCATCTAGGAGAGAGGCAGGCACAGGACTTGCTTTGTGGAATAAGAGCTGCACTGGCTTTTTGTTGTTGTTGTTTTGTGAATTCCAACAAACAAGGGTCACACTTGAACAAGCAGAATCCTTGTCTTATCCATGTGTCATGCACCTATAGGGAAAAGTCACCATGCTATCAACAGAGCAGTCAGGGTTTTTCATGTCCCATCTCTTGATAACTTCAGGGGTTTGGTTACCCGGTGTTGCTTGTTGCTCCTGGGCATGGAATGAGCTGCTGCATATTTTGAATGGCCTCAGATAACTTGCCTAGCTGTAAACTTACCCTCAATATACTCCAAATGGACCATTTTACTACTTTTTGTGGAACGAGCGCCTGTACTTCACCATACTGGTTGGTGCAGATGCTCTCCTGTCCCTTGGTGTGAGCTTGGCGTTATTTTGCCACCTTGCCAAGCTGGAAACTCACCTTGGCATGCGAAAGGCATCTCCTCATCAGTATGGAAAGTGGCCAAACACGCATGTGACATTCACAGCGGCATCCTTACTGCGTCGTGAGCATGCGGAGGTGAATGGCAAGGACGCGGGTTGTGTTGGCTCTCGCCTAGAGCCAAGAGGAGTCAGTCACTGCTCTGGGGCGAGGGAAGGGAGGAGGCATGGCTGGTGACTGGGAGAGGGCACGGGCGGTTATAGCTGGGTCTGTGGGTTGCAGTCCATAGGCTGGAGCACGGCGATGCTCCATTTTGGAGGAGAAGATGTTTTTCAGCAGCGTGTTGCTGCACGTCATTGAGAACCGTGGCGCGGCGGTTGCAGAACAGGGGGTGTGCTGGTCAGGACAACCCCGGCTGCGTGGCAAGGGGAGAAATTTGTCCTTAATGTTGTATAATATAGATCTACACCCTGCGAATGATGACCCTCATCAAGGAAAGCTGCCTGTACAGTCCATCAAAAACTGCACAGTTAATGATGGGCTGGGCAGATAATCGCGGGAGAGTTAATTGTAAGGTTCGATATGGCATCTTGTCAGCAGAGATAAGTTGTCACGTTTTCCACTTGAGCTGAAACTAAATGATTGTAAAATAAGTTATGAGTGTCCTTGGGCCTGTCTGCCAGAATGATGGCTAAGAATACATTCCTGGCCCATCAGTCTCAAGCAGCCCGCTTGATATTTATGCGAACTGAATGTTATTTTATTCCCCCTCTAGTCATGCTTGTCAGCTTCCCGAGTGAAAAGTGAAACTGCTTCTTTGACTCATACTTCAAGTATTGAAGCTCAGAGAGGCTGCAGATTGTTATTATTATTACTAGTATTATATATTTTTTCGGGTGTGCGTTGAACATTGATGCCCGATTGGGAAGAACTAATGGCTGACATTGAATGCACGGGATGGCTGCAAAACAGCCCATCCCAACCCAGTGAAACGCGTCTTATGAGTTCCAGTGCCTCTGTCAAAGCTGGTTTAGATGTGGAGTAATGAGGCGCTTGCTTTTTTAATTTGGCGTGCCTTTTTCCATGCCTTTTTTTTTTTATTTTATTTAATAGTGCTGGCAGTGGTCGTCTGTTCTCAGGCGTGGTAATTGATACAAAATAAAATGCATTATTTGTATTCAGTCAGGAGTATGAAATTGCATTCAGTGGGCTGAAGCCTGAGCTCATTTACAGTTTTCCGAAGCTGGGCTTTCAGGAGCCCTCTTTTCAATTTGAAGAATACCTTGTCAGGCAAGAGAAGTAGTGGGAAATGGGAAAGCACAGCGTGTAAGCCTAGCGCCTTTTGATTGCTCATATTTTAAACTGGGAGAATGTTAAATAACTCCCATCTTCAAAGGGTGGTCTCCGAAACCGGGAATGCAGGGCATTAATACACTAACAATATCAGCTCGGCACCCGTTTACGAGCATCTCGCCTTTCTTTTCTGGTTGAGGGGGAGGGAAAAGCTTCAGGCTCTTTCCTTCAGAGCCATTTGACCCAAGGACGGCAGGTTATTACCTGGAGAGAGCTGTGTATCAGGAGGATTTACCATAGGAGGTTAATTCCTCAGCTCTCCCAACACGAGTAGTCGGACTGTCTGTGTGTAAGTGTCCTCATTTTTCAGAGCTCACCAGCAGGTTTTGTTGGTGCAATTTATAGCCTAGAAATCAGACTGAGCCACAGCAAGCGTACGGATGGACCTCAATATTTTTTAACAAGGATCCCATTGAAAAATATATTCTGTGGTTTTGTGTCAGGGTGCAGTTTTTTCACCATTTTGTGGGTTTGGGGCATCGCAGTTGACGCCAGAATTGCACGTGGTAATGAACACAGCCCTCGTATGCCTGCCTTGGGGACCGGAACACATCAGCACACGTCTCAGCATCACTAATGTTTGGAGAGAAACTTTGTGAAAGGCATAGGAAAGGGTGGGAGGGTTGGTTTCTCCTGGGTTTTTAAGTACCCAATGTAGGAAACCAAGAAGCCCCAAACTGGAGGTTCAGTGTTTAGAACCAGCAGTAACCGGCTTGCCTCCTTGGCCATGCCTCTGTGTTGCTGGCATCCTCTTCTGCATCTTCTCTTCTTCCAGTGTCAACGGAGCCAAAGAGATCAGCATCCCCTTTGTCAAGCCCATGCTGAGTGTTGGCATGGATTCTCATCAGGGTTTGCCTTTTCACCTGGAGAGACAGCAAAACTTGGCAGGAGAGCTGCTTTGAGCATTTAGGGGTCAAATACTTAAAAACTCCTATACAAATAGACAGTAAATACATTCTCATTATTCCCTTTTGTGGTTAAATACTTGATGAAAGGTTTCAAAATACTGGACATAGGGAAAAGAACAAAAATTCTTCATATAAAGCTAATGTTTGATTTAGTCTCTATTGCCAGGCAATTAGCTCCATAATTTATCCGCCACTAATAACTTGCAGCACAACTGTGCTTAGCGGGTAATTAGCAAGTAAACTTTATGAGAAAAAAAAGCAAAAATTTTTTCTTTGTCAAGTAGGCAGTTGTGTGAGGACTTAACTACTCAGAAAATCAAAAGTTGCTTTTTAAATAGTCTTTTTCTTGAATTTTCTTGAATTCATTTTAAGTGCAGTCCTGCTATTGCACTTCAGCGCAACGTGTGGTGTTTAACCAAGGTGCTGGGAACACCTTCACTCCAGGTGACAGCAAGCACTTTAAGTGGAGGGTGTTATGTTAAGTTTTGTAATTAAAAAAAAAACAAAACTAGAAATGCATTTAGCACTAACCCTAGCCAAAAGGTTGGTTGCAGTTAAACTAAAATCACATTACTGACCTTGGGTAAAATTACTGGATTAAGGGTACTTGAGTGTTTGCTGTGTGAAAGGACCCAGACAGAGAGTGAAACTTCACGTATGTCTTCATTGCCTCAACTTGTGTTTAATGTTGCTGTTAGGTATTTCTGGACTGAAGTAGAGAAGAACTAGTCAGAGAGAAGGTGTTCATTATTACCAGCCGTTGCACAGGCCAGGGAAGGGAATGGGGGTCTCTGCTTCCGAGAGGGGGGTGTCATCACCCTTTAATTTTAATCTATTTGAGAGAACTAATTGATGTGGGAGGGGCGAAAATTACTCCGTCATTAGGTCTTAAAATTGTTCTGTGTTATGCTTCCATAGCTAGTACAGCAGAAAACCAAGCACACTGGGCATGGGATTATATTTTTTTAATTGGGAGCAGGTAGTAAGTGACCCTTTATCCCACAGTATTGGGTGTACCAGGCATACATGAATCACACACCTTATTTTCCCACCTTTATTGCCATTTGCACCTTTTCGATGTGTGTTATCTTTAATATTAATGAAAGCAAATAGCGTTCAGAGTACATGGAGATATCCCTGTTTCATTATGTATTAAAACATCCTAGCATTACATGAGTTAATTTGAGGATCAGTAAGATCCTTATAAAAAAGAGCAATTGGAAATAATGAAGTGATTTCCCATTGGCTTTTGTCAGTTCCATCTAGACTGCTTATGAAATTGGCGCAGTGTCCTGTTGGTTTAATCAGAACTTTCAGCCAAGTTGCTTTTTTGTACCTTTTTGAAAAACTAATGGATATTGTTAGGAGACTCTTCTGTAGCCTTTGGAAGTCAACACGCTCAAGAAGTTAGCTGCTAACAGACAGCGGAGGGTTATAGCTTGGATTCTAGCAATCGTTAATTTAAATTATACAGGTTTTTTTTCTTCTTCCCCCCCCCCCCCAAACTGCAGATACTGGGTTAGGAGATTCTGTATGTTCAAGCCCAAGTATATCCAGTACGACAAGTCCCAAACTCGACCCACCTCCGTCACCCCACGCCAACAGAAAGAAGCACCGCCGGAAGAAAAGCACAAGCAATTTCAAAGCTGATGGTATCTCGGGCACAGCTGAAGGTAAGCTTGCTCTACGGTGGAAATCTGAATTTTGAAAAGATCGTTCCAAAGAGCATTGTTAAATACACCTCAACTACACCACTGGCTTTGCATGCAGACGGTAAAGAGAATTATACTCAAGTAGAGAATTTAAAGGCTGATCTTTTACTGATGAAGCTGAATACTCTGAGGCATCACAATGGTGAATTCCATTGTCTGAAACATGGTTGGAACCGAATTTTTTTTAATAAATAAAACAGTGTCCCCCAGTTAATTCGGAGCCTCTTAGCCATAAAGGTAAGGTACAGGCATATTTGTGAAGTTAACAAGAAAGAAAAAGGTTCACTCAGTATCCTATAGATCCCGTTAGAGCTTGTGTATTTTTTCATTATCATTAAATCTCGTGTTATCTCTTCTGCTTAGACACTTCCCGAGCTCTAGAATCGCGAACTCTTCTGATGCCTGTTTTTGTTTGAATATTCAGCTGCTCGTGGAAAGATTGTGTTATTTGAAAATAAAAAGGAAAAGGGGAGAGTTTAAATGTTTGGGTTCTTTTTTAAGAACCAGAAAGGAAAAGCCAAGAAGAACTTCTTTTCTCCCTTATTTTAGCTTACCGTTTCCAACACGAACGCTGCTATAGCTGTTGAATGCCCTTCTGAAGGGGTAACAATGTGTACAGTAGACAGATATGATATAAAACATGCTTGTACCTTTAGAAAAGAAGAAAAGAAACATGCTAGGATTCAACCAAAAGAGCTCCAGAAAAAAAAAAAAAAAAGAACAAGGGTAGTTGGAGAGCTCAGAAACTGGGGAGTCAACATACAAGGAGAGATGAAAAACGGAGACAATGGAATGACATTGTCGGAAAAGGGGAGTGTTAAGTAAGAAAAAGATGCAGTTGTGAGCATTGGAGAGTGAAAAACAGCTAATTCGGTATCAAAGAGAGTTGGAACAAGTTCTGAAAAAAGGATGACAGTTGCGGACAGCTGAAGAGACATTAAAAATAGACGTGATAATAGTATACAACTGAGAAGGGGGATGTTAACTACTACTTAGTCATCCTTATTTTCCATTTATTTAATTTCTCAGTTGCACTTCTTTCACATACGGAATTTATTTCCCCAGCTATCTATACAAATCCTTTTTTAAAAGCCATCGGGTTTTTTTCATAATAGTTCCTGTTTTGTTCTCTTTCCAGTCATTTAACTATCTTTACTGTTAGTTTCCCCCTAGTTTATGGCCTGAAGCCAAATTTTATTTTAACCTTTCATTTTTAATTTTTCATCTTTTTTTTTTTTTTTCACAATCCATTTTACTTTACACCACTTATTTTCATACCTCAATGGCAAGTTATAGAGGGGGTTTTTCAGAGTGCTCACCATTGGTCCAAGACTGTTTTGTTGGAGTCAATATGAATCAAGACCAGCTGGATATCAAGAGCCTTTGAAAATCTTTTTCTAAGTAGTTAATGCGTGTATGTTTTCTTTCTCCCGGGGAGATTATTTTCACAAGTCACTGGAGCTGGAGCCTGTGTGGTCCTGGTCTACAGGCGCAGACTCCTGACCCGCAGTGAGCAATGGGGGATCTGTGGTCGTTGTGCATCTTGGCCATGAAATCCCTGTTCTGATGGGAGTGGGGATTTACGTGCTCCTTCATCCTTTTCTCTTGCTCTTGTCCTTGTCTTCCAGCATCCTAACACGCTCATCTAAAATTCTTTTGCAATAGCTTTGCAAAACCATCCCCTTACATATAAATGGGATAAATACACTTCCAGAAGAGCAAGAGCTGGCCAGCAAGTAGCACCAAGTGATAGACAAGGAGGTTTAAAAGCAGCAGTGAGCTCCCACACCTGTCTTTACAGTCTTTGTATCTTTATGTTGGCCCACCAGCTTTCATTGACCTGCCTCTTCTTACATGTCTTCTGAGATGGGCTCTCTTTTCTGGCTTGGGGCTCCCAGTTGTGTCTTGGGTGGGCCACAGTGGTTGTTGAATTCTTCATAACATCTCTTTTAAAGCGCAACCAAGTGAAAAACAGCCGTTGGCTGTAAGAACAGAATTGCGACTTTCTACACAGTGTTCTTGCCACGTGGGAGAGGAGCTCTGGGCGTCCTTCAGCAGATAACTAGTCTTACTGGCCCTGGAATCCTTAGCAAGGTTGGGAGGAGATGCCTGACAGCTGGGACAGTCAGCCTCGTCTGTCAGCGGTAGCTGAAGGAGAGAGCAATGAGCCGTGCTCGAGTTCCCTGTCCTTTTAGAAGAAGGGCATCTCAGAAAAAAGTAATAGTGATTGTAGATTCCTATAAAGTACTTTCCAGCAAGATTAACAAAGGCTAGGGATTGCCTTTTCCCAATCCTGACATGCAGGCACTTGTAACCTTTGTATTTTCATAGAATCGTAGTCATAGACTGGTTTGGGTTGGAAGGGACCTTAAAGCCCATCCCATTCCACCCCCTGCCATGGGCAGGGACACCTCCCACTAGCCCAGGTTGCTCAAAGCCTCATCCAGCCTGGCCTTGAACCCCTCCAGGGATGGGGCATCCACAACATCTCTGGGATTGTGTTGGTGCCAGCCAGTAGTTCCGTTCGGTATGTGTTAGGTTTGACCAAACAGGTAGTGTTCACCTCTGAGCTTGCTGTGACACTGAACGGTGGGAATAACTCCAGTCCTGGGACTGCCAATGTCACAAGCCAGCCTGGTGCTGGTAGGTGTGTGTCTGAGGTGCTTTAGGCTGTTAGGGGTTTATCTCCAAGTAGTTGAATGTGGCATTTTCACATCTGCCTTGCACTTCAAAGCAGTTTTCAGTTCAATAATTCACCCTTTCCTCAGGAAAAGGCTTATTTCCTTGTTTTCTAGTGCTTGGCTACAAATCTGTCCAATGACCTAAAGGATTTCCTTTTTATTTCTTCCTCTACACTTGTCGTAAGAATGGATTTAAACTCTCAGAGGGTTACTGCAGTTTTGAAGACCACAAATCCCAATTAAACACTAAAAGGAAGATGTACGGAGAGGTGCGCGTGCTTTGCCTTGGCAGCTTTAGTCAAGTGTTCAAGATACGGCAGGTGACATGGAAAATGGGGTACAGAAGGCTGTGGTGGTAATCATGGGAGAACCATATCTTCCTTCTTTCTGGAAACCCTGAGCTCACAACAAAAAGGAGGAGGAGGGTCGTCCTGCAGTAGCTATTCTCAGACTGTTACAGTGGATCAGAGTTAAGTGATTTGGGTAATTCTGGATTTTACGTTGCCTTCCTTTGGATCCAGACACGTTTCAAGTGTTGACTTTCAAGCAGAAATTCTGGGTTCCTTCATTTTTGTCTGTAGCAAAGCTGAGGTGTTCAATGAGGTTTAAATGCTGGTCTTCAGCAAAGTCTAGGATTTTTACTGCACTTTGGAGTCTTTTTTTTTTCTCCTTGAACGTGCTGGCTTTGATCATTGACCTCTGCCCAAGTATTCAGGTATCATGATGATGGACACTAGTGAGCCCAGGGTGATTCACTAATTCCAAGGACTGATGCTCATCTCTTTTATGCCCTTCCGTAAAGGTCATGCTGATTCTTCTCCCTCTACACTATCTGCACGTGCACAGCCCTCTCTTTCTGGGATTGATTCTTTCATCTTACTTGGTTTATCTTTCTCCAGGTTTTCTGAGACAATAGTTGTAGCAACAAAAATACTAACGCCACCGTGCTGCAGTCGGGTTAAAATTAAAATTCAGTGCCTGTTCTGGAAAATCAGTTTGTTATGAAATTTTTCCAGCACGAGGAAACCCAGAGAGAGAAGTTTTTTAGTTCTCTGTACGGAACTTGTCGCTGAAAAAATTCCTCGGTGTTTTTGAGGGTAACAGCAGGAAAATTAGGCAAGGTGCCAGCAACCAGCGGTGTTTTTCCCACCATGCTGCCTAAACTTGCTCAGAGCAGGATTATCCAGCGCTGTATTTCAAAGAGCTGCTCAGAGCCCAGCCTGTTTCGGTGCTGCTGCAGTTAGTGGAACAGCTGGTGATAACAGGAAGGTTTGTGCAGCTTGAAAACAAGTCGAAAAATGTAAAAGCTTTCTTGGAAATAACTCTTTGCAGAAAAGACCGTTCTCAGTGTTTTTCTTGGTAGACAGTTTTAAAACTTCATGGCTATGCCAGCTTGGACCTGCCTGCTTTCAATCCACCTCCAAGATCTTAGGAGCTATGGAAAGCCCAAGGTATGGCTGGCTTTCAGCATCAAATCTAGGTCATCCATGCTCTGCAAGTGGGTCTGCCCTAGGGCTGGTCCGACTGCGTCCAGGCGGGTGGGTGGTCAGGAGAGGCAGCTGCCCTTCATTTGTCTTCTCTCTTGGCAGCGTAGGTAGAACAAGCACGGCTCTCTGTTCCCGTTCCTGCAGAAAAACAGGAATTGGTGAGATAGCAATAAATGCGATGAGTGACTCGGTTGACTTTCCAAACTCCATGTTTTCTCTGTAAATCCATGTTCAGTGTTTTTCATCGTTGGTTCCTAAAGAACTTCTGAAGGACAACGAAGGCCTTTTATGTTTCTTTTTACAACTATTTTCTTAACACAAAGATGTTTCTTCTCTGCCCTTTGTGGCAGTAATTGCTTTTCGCTGTGTTTCCCTGTTCCATGCAGTCTAGCCCCCAATTCTAGGTGTACGCTCTCTGGCCTGTAGCTAAGGATGAAGACCACTTTACTGAGAAATTGCTTTTATTATTTTCCTGGTGTGAACTAATCAATGTATTTCAAAAGCTTGTGTTCTTCACTAGGACCTAGGAATCTAACGCTGCAGTTGTTTTTCTGTTCCGAATCTCAGGGAGCGTTGAAGATGAGATATAGTTAAGTTTGGAATGAAAATATGTTCATTTGTTTTCTGTGGATGGAAAAACCAGGTTTTAGTCAGACTTTGCATTTGTATTTTTAGCAATAAGCTAAAATTTCACTGCTTTCATCTGGTTTCTCAGCTGTATGGGGACTGGAGTCAGAGTGGGATAAGGTGCAAAAAGCCACGGGAGGTGCTGGCTTATTCCCAGGACTTCTTG